AGACCTGTATTCAATATTTCTGTAGATAAAATCTAAAATCCTAATTACTCTACCACTAGCGACAGCTCACTGATTGGATGGCTTTAGAGACTGATCAACTATTATACCAAGATCCCTTTCTTTCATAACACTGTTAAGGTTATTCCCTTCAAAATTATACTTATAATTAAAATTATAATAACCCACATGCATTATCTTGCATTTATTATAATTAAAACCCATTTGCCATTTATTTGCCCAACTCGCTAAATCATCTAAATCATTTTGTAAATCAGCAGCATCCTATTCACAGCTAGCAACACCCAAGACCTTAACATCATCTGCAAATGTAAGTAATTTATTGATCATTCTTTCATCTATTTCACTGATGTAAATCAAGAAAGACAAAGGTCCTAAGACTGAGCCCTAAGGTACCCCACTTATGACATTAATCCAGTTTGAGTGAACTCCATTTGTAACAAAGCTCTGCTTTCTTCCATCCAACCACTCTTCTATCCAATTTGCTAACTTATCCCCCACACCTATAGAGATAATTTTTGTACAAGCCTTTTATGTGGCACCTTGTCAAATGCTTTCCAAAAATCCAGTTGCACCAAATCTGCACTTTTACCCTCATCTACATAAGTAGTAAACTTTTCAAAGAATGTCAGAATATTTGTAAGGGAAGATTTTCCCTTAGTGAAACCATGTTGACTATCCAATAAAATTTTAAGATTTGTGGCAAATTTTTTCTTTTTACAATAATGTTCACATTTGATGAAATCTAAGTTTGTCAGAATGATGATAATTTAGAATTATGATTAACTTTATTTTCATTATTTATTATTCAAGCTGTAGTATTGATTTTGTGTTACCAAAGTGATATTATTAAAATACATTTACACTTAATGCAAAAACTTGCTTAGGCTTTGATAATTGTTTTCCCAATCTTAGAAATATTGACATTTTGTAGGAACAGTATTTCTGAAGACATTTTATTTTTGGTAAAAAAAAATTAGCAGTTGGAAAATATATTATTCAGACTCATTAATAGAATATGCAAAGGGTACAAGCCAATGATAAGTATTCACTATATAGGCAACTCTAATTATTCATGAGATATGCTACAAACACGCACACATCCAGATCTTGATAAACGTATATAAATAAAAAAGTTTCTGGAGTGTGAATGCTGTAAATTCATGTCAGTTTTGTACATGTATTAAATCAAACTAGAATCTCCTCAGAATAGAATGTCAGTTTCATATGCATATTACCTAAAATTTAGCATCATCTTGCAATGAACTGTCAGTTTTATATGTTACCATTTATAATAGAAATTCAAGTTTTTGTACTTGTAGAAATGGTGTGTAGGTTAATTTCTCAGTCACTTAATTTTCCAACTATTTTATGTAGGTACTGTTTTCCATTTGGAAGGCCTGAAGGCTCTCTCAAAGCTACTTTGTCACTTCTGGAAAGGGTATGTAAATTTTTTGACAAGCAGCTACTTTTTCAAACTATAAATTTTAATGTATGTATTCATAATTTATACATATCTAAATAGATTTGAAATGCACTTTATTATTACTCTAAACACCTTTTGTCTAGTACTATATACAAAACTGTTGAAAATCAGACTTAAAGTTAGTTTTGTTTTTACTTTATTCAAAATAAATGTTAATAATATATATATATA